AGGAAGAAGGGACAGAGAGAGGATTTCACAGAACAACATGTCTTATTATCATGCTGCTTCCTCATGTTTTCTGAACTATTTATTTTTAAAAGCACACCAGTCCACTAAGTTGATTCCACAGCCCAGAATCATGGGTCACCATATCCCACAGTTTGAAAGCAATGTTGCTGGAAAGGGGGCAGCATCCTCAGGAGAGCTGGCTGCCATCTGTAGCACCTTTCAAAGGCTCTACCTATTCACTAGGGACACCTTGCCATGCGGATTCCCAAGGGCTCCCAGGAGCCTTGGGCCTGCACTGTGCACACACCCTGACTGCCTTGGGCCAGGGAGGAGCGAGCTCTCTCTGGTCTATTTTATAAGGGCACTGATCCCACTCAGTCACCTCCCAAAAGCCTAACCTAGCACTTGCACAGGCAGATTAAGGTTTCAACAAATGAATTCTGAGAGGACAAACATTTAAGAGAATCAAAATCAGATTATTACACATTAATGAATACACAAACATAATAAACTGGAGTTGGATATTTTAATATCAATAAGCCTCAAAGCCATAGTTTGAGATGAAAATTAAGTATAAAATAATACTACCAGTGATAGAAAAATATGCACAACTTTGGATACATGCTGAGAGCGCCACGTAGGACACACTGGACCTTGATAACACCAAAATTTGAAAGGGACTGTAGCCAGGAGGAGGTGTGTGGGATTAAGGGAGACTCAGAGGTCTTTCCTCCACTGGAGTGGCGACAGTACACTGGAATTTATGGAAATCTCTCATATAAAGTCTCCACAGTGGCCAGTGGCTGAGCAGGATCTCAGACCAGAACATGACAAGAGCTCAGACATAAGTCAAAAAAAAAAAAAAAAGGAAATAAAAGGCATCCAAGTCAGAAAGGAAGAAGTAACATCATTTCTATTTGCAAATGACATGTTCCTATTAGTTAGAAAACCCCCAAAGAGTGTACCCAAAAAGTCCTGTTAGAATTCACAAATGAATTCAATAAAGTTGCAGGATACAAAATCGATATACAAAAGATCAATAGTACCTCTATATACAAATCACAGCCTAGTTAAAAATATGTCAAGAAAACAATCTTGTTTATGATAACATAAAAAAATACTTAGGAATAAACTTCACCAAGGAGGGGAAAATGTTTTTACACTAAAAACCATAAAACAATGAACAAAACTGAAGATGACACAAAAAAGCTGTGTGGATCAGATATTCTGTGTGGATCAGAATAATTGCTATTGTTAATATTCCATATAACCAAATCAATATACCTATTTAACACAATCCCTACCAAAACTCCAATGGTATTCTCCCCAAAAGAAAGAAAAATCTATATAAAAAAATTTATATAGAACCACATACACACACCAACCTTAACAGCAAAGCAATACTTGGGAAGAAAAACAGGTATCATACTTCCTGATTTTAAGTGATATCACAATGCTGTAATAGCTAAAGCAGTATAGTACTGGCATAAAAACCCAAACAGACCAATGAACAGGACAGAGAGTCCAGAAATGAACCCACACATAGGTAGTCAACTAATTTTTAAGAAGTGCACCAAAAGGACACAATAGGAAAGGGACAGTATCATCAACTAAGGGTGTCTGACCAAATGGAAAAGAATTCAGCTGGACCTTTACCTCACACCATATACAAAATCCAACTCAAAATTGGTAAAAAAAAAAAAAAAAAAAAAAAAGAAATTATATATATGTATATTCCAAAAGTGCATGCATGCTACAGCATTAAAAATATGTGAGACTGTATCAGACTAAAAAGCTTCTGCATAGCAATGGAACAATCAACAAAATGAAAAGGCAACTTACAGACTAGAAAAAGATATTTTCAAATGGCATATCTGATAAGGGATTAATATCCAAAATATATAAAGAACCCTTACAACTCAACAGCTGAAAAAAAGTCCCAACTTAAAAATGGGCAAAAGGGGCTGGTTGTAGCTCAGTGGAAGAGCGCTTGCCTAGCACGCATGAGGCATTGAGTTGGATCCTAAGCACCGTATTAAAAAATATAAAGTTATTTTTTAAAAAATCACTTAAAAGGGGGTATGGAAGGCAAAGGACCTAAACAGACATTTCTTCAAAGAAGATATTAAAATGGGCAACAAATATAAGTATCCAACATCACTGGTCATCAGGGAAATGCAAATTAAAGTCTCTATGAGATACCACTCACACCCACAAGAATAATGATAATAAAAAAGACAAGAAGCTGGATGCAGTGACCAACAGTGGCTCAGGAGGCTGAGGCAGGAGGTTTACAAGTTCAACCTCAGCCTCAGCAACTTAGTGAGGCCCTAAGCAACTTAGTGAGATCCTGTCTCTTAATAAAGTATGGGGAAAAAGGGCTGGGGGTGCTGGGATTGTGCTCAGTGGTAGAGAGCCCCTGTCTTTTCTCACCATGATCCCAGCACCCTACCTGGTTCCTAGGACAAATGACAAGAGTAGTGACATGAAGTTGGGAGGTGAGCCAGGACTTGAAGAATTCCTATGATCTTAGCTGAGCTCTGGTGCTTGACCTTGGTGGTGTGATGAACCCTCTTTTGGGAAACATGTATATACTCCCACACGGGTGACTCAGCAAAGTGGCTCAGCAGCTTCAGGGACTCCTGGGTCTCCTCAGCAGGTCCTCAGTGAGGAGGGTGCCGCTCAGTTGGGAGGGACCATTTGCTCAGGAGGCTTGAGATTATGATCCAGAGAGAAAGGATGGGGCTCCAGGACCCAAGAGGGAAGAGAAGAAGGAGCCACCTGCCTGACTCCTGCCCTCTGTCCCTCCAGGGCCATGGAGGAAAAGTCAAGTAATTCTTGAAAAATAGAGCAGAGGGACTTGCTCTTCAATACATCCAAATCCACTGTAAAAACACAGCCCTCTCGAGCACAATTAAGAATCATCCCAGTAAAACAGAACAAAAATCAGTCAAGCAGCCACACAAATGCATCGAGACTGCAGGCCGCAGGGTGTGGTGGCATACACCTGCAATCCCAGCCACTCAGCAGGCTGGAGCAGGAAGATCTTAAGTTGGAGGCCAGCCTCTGCAACTTAGAGACCTTGTCAAAAGTAAAAAATAAGGCAACCCTGGGTTTCATCCCCAGTATACACCCACACACACACATACACACATACACACACACACACACACACACACACACACACTGAAGAGAAAACCAATGCAACTCCAGGGTCAAAGCAAAGAAAATACAGCTCTGTAATGACCTCTCATCACAAACCCCTCACGAGAACCCACACTGGCTCTCCCTGAAAAACCAAGCTGGACGACATGGTAGGATGGTGACTGGTCTCCAGGGCACACAGGCCAGCCCTGGGGCTCAGCAGCTTAGTACAAGATAAAGATAGTATTTCAAATCAGAAACAAAAAAGGATGGATTCATTAAATGGCATGAGGACAACTAGCAATTCATTGGGAAAAGACCAGATCCTTAAATCAAACCACAGCTTATTTTAAAATGGAAAAAGGAAGCTGGGCCTGGTGCACACAACTACTGTGCCCAGCTACTGGAAAGACTGAGGTAGGAGGATGGCTGGTTTGGGGAGTTTGAGACCATCCTGGGCAGCACAGTGAGACTCTCAGAAAAAGGTCAATCAGTCATGTGTTTGTTTTTTTTAAAGGACTGTTTTGTATAAAGAGAAATAAGGATACTTATACATAACTAGGTCCCCAAAGGAAATTCCCTGTACTATCTTTCTTTCAAACAAGAAATAATATCTCAGGGCTGGGTTGTGGCTCAGTGGTAGAGGACTTGCCTACCACATGTGAGGCACTGGGTTCCATCCTCAGCACCACATAAAGATAAATAAAGGTATTGTATCCATCTACAACTAACAATATTTTWAAAAAAAAAGAAAAATATCTCCTCATGACATGGACATTTACAGAACAGAAAACAAATGCTGAAATAGTTTTCTCCCCAAACAGCCATAGAGTGTTCTTGTAAATTACATAATTGGAGGAATGGTAACTGGAGACTGAACCCAGGTCTCGTGCTTGCTAAGCACACCCTCTACCACTGAGTTACAGTTCAGAACCTGAATGACATTTTTAAAAAGGTATCCCTCTTCAAAGTGAGGATGTCTTATAGCTCCAAATAACCAAAGAATCTTAACTCCAACAGGCTTGGATTCTCTCAGTGGCAAAGCTGATTCACTGAGCCTTTCCCAGCAGAGTGAGGTCTTCCATCAGCTCACAGCCTCCACCCACCCAGCCCTGAGTCACAAGGTGCAACCGTGTTCACATCCATGTGCTCTGTGATCTTTACCTAGATGCACTAGGGGATGCTACTGCAGGTTCTAAAATTCTACCATTTCTTCTGCCTGTATTAGCTCATAGATTATTTTGGCCCCTCTTATGTGTGGAGATTATTGCAGACTCAGATTTTTGTTTATTAAAACTGTTCAATCAGTTACAGTCATCCTTCTTGATCATCAAATTACTTCTAATTTGGCCAGTGGAGCCCCTCCAAGCTAGCTGCTGTGTTCTTTCATTGCCCTTCAATCTGAGCATTTCCTTGGTTTCCTACCCAGGAGGCCCCAGGCTCACTGTGGATGCCTCAGGACCCCAAATCACCAGCTATTCCTCCACAGAGTTTCCGTTCCCTTGGTGGCAATGCTAGGCACAGAATCTACTGATCACTATACTGGTAACACTTTTTTTTAATATTTATTTTTCAGTTTTCAGTGGACACAACATCTTTATTTTATGTGGTGCTGAGGATAGAACCCAGAGCCCCGCGCATGCCAGGCGAGCGCATTACCGCTTGAGCCACATCCCCAGCCCTGGTAACACTTTTTAAAGGCCCTGTCAATGAACAGATGTGGAAATAATTTTTTTTTAAAGTTTCCAACTCATATTTATCACTACGGGGAGTTTTCCCTGAAGAATTGGAGTTCTTGTCACCTCTTAAACTGGAAATTTTGGCTCTTTTTTGCTTCATCCTACAATATACACAAAATAGGTTAAAAATAGCATCAATATTACTACCATGGAAATTAATGAGTGACATTATCATTTTCTTTGACCCTTCTTGTTCCTGAAAAATGTTCCAACTAAGGATGTATAGTTATGATACTGTGTTCAAAAGTCTCTGATAATTTCTGTGTGGTTGATTTACCCATGTGAAATAACCTTGAGTATTCTCTTCATTTTCAATTTTAAAACCTGCTTTTATTTCCTCTTGCATATATAAATAATCATTTTCAAAAGTCAAAACTTCATAAAAAGGTATACGTATATACATACACATGTCCCCTCAACTCTTACATAAAAGATAACATGCTACATATAGTTTTTTATATTTTGCTTTCCTCAGTATAATAATATGCTGTGGTACAGTACTCAAATTTTTCAAATGTCACTCAATGCATATTGCACTGTTAAGCTACAAAGAAGCATTGGTGGCATCAGTGTGGGAAGTCTGTCCTAACGGTTATTAAGCTGTGGGGCAACATTTTTCACTGGCAACGGCACTGAGTTTCACCATGAAAACCAAAGGTACACAACATAAGCATGCTACCTACTCACATTCAGAAGCCCTACTCACCTCAGGTCCTCTTCAAATAACTGCTGCTTGCTGCAGCAACTTGTGTTTTTCAAAAACCTTTATCATCCAAAGATTAGACACATCTTTCATCATATTTTCAAAATTTGGAATCAAGTCTGAAACATGACTTCAGCATTACATTTCCAGAAGCATCAGGAGTACCCATCACCTAAATTAATAATGTTCCCTTAGTGTTTTTTCTATTTACTTTTTCAATTTAGTTTGATTACTTTGGAGCTTATGTGCATACGAAATGCCCACACAATTTCACACCCATATCAGTTACCTGATGTGCAGTAAGCTGTGACCATAAATGGCTTTACACTTTCACTGTTCACTTTTCCCCGTGCCTTCTCTGCAATGTGCACTTGATATGTTGGTGGATACTAATGTACACAGGATGTCTCAGGGCGCTCTCCCATTTGAGTCCTCTGACATTTAGTTAAGACATGACACAAAGTCTTCCCATATTCATTTTGTAGAGAGTCATCTAGCCCGTCTCCCTTGTGCTGAAGACTGAAGTTACACGAGGGCTGCCACATGATTACATTCACGTCACCTCCTGCAAGTCCTCCTGGTGCAACAAAGTCTGACTCCACACAGGAGGAAGCGATACATTTATTAAAATTCAGGGTGTCATTCTCCTGTGAATCACCTGATGACTAGTGAGAGCTGCCTTCTTGCAGAAGGCTTTCCCACATTTATTACATGCATAGGGCTTCTCCCCTGTGTGTCCCTGTTGATGAACTGTGAGGGCCGATTTCATACCAAAGGATTTCCCACATGTACTACATATATAAGGCTTCTCCCTGGTGTGAGTCCGCTGGTGGTTGATGAGGTTTGACTTCACATAAAAAGCCTTTCCACATTCATAACATTCAAAGGGGTGTTTCCCTGAGTGAGTTCTCTGATGTACAGTGAGGTGTGATTTCATACAAAAAGACTTGTCACATTCACTACATTTGTAGGGTTTCTCATCCGAGTGAATTCTCTGATGTATGGTTAAGGCTGACTTGTAGCAGAAGGATTTCCCACATTCATTACACTCATGGGGTTTCTCCCCAGTGTGTGTTCGCTGGTGTTCAATGAGGTGTGACTTCTGGAAGAAGGTTTTCCCACATTCCTTACATTCATAGGGCTTCTCTCCTGTGTGTGTCCGATGGTGTTTAGTGAGGTGTGACTTCTGGAAGAAGGCTTTCCCACACTGTTTACAATCATAGGGCTTCTCGCCTGTGTGTATTCTCTGATGTTGACTGAGGGCTGACTTCATATAGAAGGATTTCCCACAGTCATTACATTTGTAAGGTTTCTCCCCTGTGTGAGTTCTCTTATGTACAGTTAGGGTTGACTTGTGGCGAAAGGCTTTCTGACACTCATTACATTTGTAAGGTCTCTCCTCTGAGTGCGTCCTCTGATGATCAGTGAGGTTTGACTTCATGGTAAAGGCTTTCCCACATTCACCACATACATGGGGTTTCTTTCCTGTGTGATTCCTCTGATGGATATTAAGATGAGACTTCACATAGAATGACTTTTCACATTCATTACATTTGTAAGGTTTCTCTCCAGTGTGAGTTCTCTGGTGTATAATGAGGGTGGATTTCATATGAAAAGACTTCCCACATTCAGAACATTCATGTGGTTTCTCCCCGCTGTGAGTTCTCTGATGTTTAGTAAGAGCTGACTTTTTGTAAAAGGATTTCTCACACTCATTGCATTTGTAAGGTTTCTCCCCTGTGTGGGTCCGATGGTGTACAACAAGGATTGAATTCATAGAGAAAGATTTGCCACACTCGTTACATGTATAGGGTTTCTCTCCTGTGTGAATTTTCTGGTGTTTAGTGAGATTTGACTTCACACAAAAGGTTTTCCCACACTCATTACAGTCGTAGGGTTTCTTCCCTGTGTGAGTTACCTGATGTATAATCAGGGCTGACTTATAGCAGAAGGATTTCTCACACTCAGTACATTTGTAAGGCTTCTCTTCTCTGTGCTTCCCCTGATGGACATGTAGGGCTGACTTATAGTAAAAAGATTTCCCACACTCAGTACATGTGTAGGGTTTTTCCCCTGTGTGGGTTCTCTGATGGTCAGCAAATTGTGACTTCTGGAAGAAGGTTTTCTCGCATTCGCTACACTTGAAAGGCTTCTCCCCCGTGTGTGTCTTCTGGTGTTTGGTGAGGTTTGACTTCACAGAGAAGGACTTCCCACATTCCTGACATTCAAAGGGCTTCTCTCCTGTGTGGATTCTTTGATGATGAGTGAAGTTAGACTTGGCATAGAAGGACTTCCCACACTCATGGCACTTATAGGGCTTCTCTCCCGTATGGATCCGCTGATGGACTTTGAGGGCTGAGCGATAGCGGAAAGGTTTCCCACAGTCATCACATACATACAGCTTCTTTCCTGGCTGTGTCCCCTGCTGGTCCCCGAGAGGGGACTTCACAGGGGCTTTTCCACGTGCCTTATGTTCACGGCGTTTCTGTCTTCGGTTAGTTCTCTTCGAGTCAGTGAGCTGTGATTTCTGGAAGGTTTTCCCACGTTTACTACTTTTACGAGGTTTCTCTTGTGTATGGGTCCTCTGGTGGTTAGTAAGTTGGGACTCCTGGCGAAAAGATTTCTTGCAACGACTGCATTCAAAGGTGTTCTCCCCTGTGCCAGTTCCAGGAGCTTGAGTGAGACGGGGCTCCTTGCTGCCACCCTCATTTTCACTGGCTTCCTGGGTTTTCTCCTCCATGTTAACTTGCTGGTCCTCACAAACCACTGACTTCTCACACCCATTAACTTCAGAGCAATCTGTCCTCGTCTGACATTCTTGAGGGATGTCAGGGACTGACATGGCACCGGTACTTCCTGTGGGTTCCTTGTGGTCACAGGGCTTCTCTCCTGCCTCTGTCGTCTGGGGTGAGGTGGTGGCTGCCTGCTCAGGGACGGCTTCTCCACCATCATTATCTTCCAAAGGTGGTCCCACAGCTTGAACTTCCTGTTGCTCAGTAAGACCCTCATTACCACCCAGAGATTCCTCACCGTGGTTACACGCATCAGACTTCTGCTCAGTCTGATTGTTTTCTTGCTCACAGTCAAGAGGCAACTTCCCATGTTCAGTGAGTGCACTGGAGTTCCTACTTGAATCATTTTTATCAGTAACACTCGATTCTGAAATACATTTCACACTCACTCCACGTGAGTCATTTTCACAGGGTGTTTTTCCTGAAGAAACAGGGTTTGTGTCCTGATTAAGTGTGTTTCCACAAATGTTCTCTCTCTTCTTACTCAGTGTGTTGTCGTGTAGGAGGGACAAACAGCACAAGTGTTCGTCTGGGTTTTCCTGGCTTTTCTTTACCAGATCACTTAGCTTCTGGGCTTCTAGAAATGAGAAAAATTAAGTGTACATTAAAAACATTAACACATATCCACAAAAGTGACTTGTTATATCACTGAATCCCTATTTTCAGGCCCAGACTCCTGGGATGAAATCCCATGGCTTACATTTCTCTTTGGTTTAGAAAAATATAAGACACACCTGCTACAGTGGAAGTGGGTGAGTAAAACTAGCAATAAATACACATATATTTGCAATTTGAAAAATATGACCTGCAAAACAGAAAAGAGAAGGGGAAATGAAATAGTGAGCTGAGGGCTGAGCACATCCGAGAAACCCACAAAAAAAGGATAAGCACAAGAGGTGCAGTGAGAAGGGGGTGCTGGAGAAGGACCTCAGGGCAGCTTAGCTGAGGGGTAAGACATAACCCATAGAGCCCACTGTCCAGGTGCCAACAGATGAATACATTTATGTAAGCAAGGTACCCTTACAAAAATCCACAATCAATACCTCCTAAATAATCAATCACTCCCAAACACAAGTCACAAGTCTGACACATAATTTTACCCCCAGGGCTTACTGTTCGGGCTTTTGCTCCACTAAAACTTACATACCCTCCAGAAAATGCGTGTCCATCTCTCTCTCTCACCTTTTTAAAATCAGGCCTCTTAGCCTGCATTTTCTTAAAAAAATTGGAAGCAGTCACTATGTACACTTTTCATTAACACAACTTTGGAAAGTATAAACTTTATCCCAATAGCACTTGATAAACAGTAAACTTCAAAATATTTCATACCATTTGTTTACTTGTCAGAATTATAACGTATGCTCCTAGCAGGTGTTACTGTGCTCTCTCTAGTTGCCTTTGAACGGCTCTGAGTAGACACATGGCCAGTGGTCCTCAACAAGCAATGTGCAATAGGGTTACTGGAAACTTTTATTCAAAACCTAGGGTATACTGTTATAGATGATATCAACCTATATTTTTATGACTTGGAATCTATGGGAATGTGATGTAGGCCTATGTACTCAAGAAATACTTTCTACATAAACATATCTATTAATGCAACAGAAGAACATATCAATTATATATTACACATAAAAAGAATAATAAAAGGAGACCCTTCAAATGGTGACTAAAGCCTCAGGTAATAAACATATGGATGTCATATGGATGTCATGGGACATGATCAAGTCTGAGTCTCCTGAAGCTCAGTAACCAAAAAAAAGCAGGGGGTACTTTATGAAGGGGAGATTAATTTTTTTGTTTTAAAATTTTTTAGTTGTAGTTGGACACAACAACTTTATTCTATTTATTTATTTTTATGTGGTGCTAAGGATCAAACCCAGAGCCTCACACATGCTAGGCAAGCACTCAACTGCTGAGCCACACAACCCCAGCCCAGAGATTAACGTTGACCAGAGTAATTAAGAAGCACTTCAAAACAAAGATAAATCTGGGTGCAGTGACGCACACCTGTAATCCCAGTGGAGGCAGGAGGATCACGAGTTCTAAGCCAGTCTCAGCAACTTAATGAGGCCCTAAGTGATTCAGCAAGACCCTGTCTCTAAATAAAATACAAAAAAAGGTTGGGGATGTGGCTCAGTGGTTAAGCACCCTAGTTTCAATCCTTGGTACCAAAAAAAAAAAACCAAATAAATAAAAAAGGTGAAAACTTTAGCACAAACAAGTCATGTGTAAAATAACACCTGGAACATCAATCACATGCCAGGATCAGTATGAGCCCTTTCTCACAGATCCAGACTGGCAAACCTCAAGAAGAAGAGGCGAGAATGTTGTAATAATTAGTAATTCTGGGCTGGGGATGTGGCTTAAGTGGTAGCGYGCTCACCTGGCATGCGCAGGGCTCTGGGTTTGATGCTCAACACCACATAAAAATAAAAAATAAAGATATTGTGTCCACCTAAAACTAAAACATAAATATTTTTTTAAATTTTTTAAAAAATTAGTAATACTTAGGAGGTCAGGTTATGTGGAACTTATAAGTTTTTGAGCAGTAACAACAACAACAAAATGAACACAGACTGGTGTGGTGTTTGTGTTACGAGGAGGTGTCTTGAACTGGGCATGGTGGTGCACACCTGTAATCCCAGCAACTTGGAGGCTGAGACAGGAGAATTGAAAGTTCAAAACCAGCCTCAGCAACTTAGCAAGACCTTGTCAAAAAATAAAAAAAGGGCTGGGGAGGTGGCTCTGTGGTTAAATGTCCTTGAGTTAAGTCTCCAGTACCTTAAAAAAAAAAAAGAGGTGTCTTTAAAGAGGGCAACACTAGGTTTATAGTAGCCCAGTGACAACACAAAATGGATTGATTTACACTTAGTATATATAGTTGTCTCTCAATATCAGAGAGGGGTTAGTTCCAGGACTCCTGGCACATACCAGAATCTGATGCTCAAGTCCCTCATGTAACATGGCATAGTGTTTGTACATAACCTACACACATCCTCTATCTCTAGATTTCTTAAACCATCTCTAGATTTCTTATAGTAACTAACACTATGCACATACTATATAAATAGTTGTTATACTATATTGTTTAGGGAATATTAAACAAAAATGTCTATATATGTTCAGTACAAACACATTTTTTTCACGGCAGGGGGTACTGGGCATTGAACTCAGGGGTACTCAGCCACATTCCCCAGCCCTATTTTGTATTTTATTTTATTTTATTTTATTTAGAGACAGGGTCTCAATGAGTTGCTTAGTGCCTCACTTTTTGCTGAGGCTGGCTTTGAACTCGAGATCCTCCTGCCTCAGCCTCCTGAGCCCCTGGGATTACAGGCATGCAACACTATGCCTAGATCACATATTTTTGCTCCACAGTTGGTTCAATCTGTATCCAATGGGACCTGTGGATACAGAGGGTCAACTGTGCTTACAGTTAGGAACTAAATGACCAAAGCACAAGAGAATAAGGTTCTCGTTTTGAGTAAGGTCGCCAGAAAATAAAAATAGTAGCTATAGAAGAATTTTCAAAGGAAAATTAAAACATATGAGGAACTACAGAAATCAGTATGATGGCTGGATGATTTTCATGGTTGTCAAGACAGAGCAGGAGATAAAAGGGTGGAGCCTCATTACGTGGAAATAAGGAATGTGAAAAGACAATGTGGAGATGATGTGAAGGCTAGTCTTTGCCATTTTGATGATGAAGGACTGAAACAGCTCAGATAAAACTGAGAAAAAAGTACAACATACAGATCCTGTGTACACTACAGGAGGTAAAGGAGGCAGTTCTCAAAGCACCTGGTAAAGCAGAAAGCTGAAACCTCAGGGACAGGTGAGGCCCTGGGAAAATGTTCTAAAGAGACAGCAGAAGACCTCTTCCCAGAGGAGTGATCATGTGATCAAGACTGCTTGACAATGTGTCTAAATTTTTTTTGCACTATTTAAATGTATAAAATACTTAACTACATGAAAAGTAAAATACACACACACACACACACACACACACAAACTGCTTTTTTGCGTGCTGTTTGGGAAATCCTTTCTTGCTTCAAGGTCGCAGATATATTCCCCAGTATTTATAGTTATGACCACTGCTTTTATCTGAGAGTAACAGGTTGGGCAAGTGAGAGGGTCATGGCTACCCCCAGGGGGCCTAGTTCTTCTGAGCCTTCAGAAATGCTTTGGTTATTTTGGACTTTGTTCTTCCTTATAAATTTTAATGTTTTATATCTAATAATTCTAAAATCTGCAGTGCTTCGCATTTTGATTCTCTGCATTCTACTGGTTCCCACAAATGACTTCTTTCTTCCTCGGGGCCCACTAGCTTTCTGTTGTGAGCTTCCTTCTGGTACCCTTCACCTGAGAGTCCTGGGGGCCGAACGGAGATCCATTGCTTGAGAGAACATGTGTTCCCAGCTGCTGGAGGCCAGGGAAAGCCATAACAGGAGCTCCAGGGATGGATCGGTCCAAGCTCTGGTGCCCTGTCCTCATCTCCAAGACTCGCTGACCTGGGCCCCAGATGATGAGAACCTGCACATGCCTTCCAACACCTCGATGGCATATCCATATCCATTTTCTGCTAAGTGAGCACTTCTCTGGCTTCATCTCACTGCTAGATTTCTGTTTTCTCTTGGGCATTACAGATTTCCCTTACATTTTAAACAGTCCAGCCACGTGCTATCATAATTTACTAAATTTCTAGTCCTATTGCACTGACAAGGCCCTACAGGAGGTCTGGTTTACTGTTTTGCTGGGAGTGGAGATCCTAGTTTTGCATGAACTCACAGCAAGATTTCACCAACCATCCCTTAGGAACTTCTCTTAAGAACAGTACACCACATTCAGCATTTAATTCTCAGTCTTCATCCTAATCTCTCCGTATCATGTAACACAGCTGATACTCCTCCTTTACTTTAAAAAAAATTAAAATAATACATTCATATAGCTCAAACTTAAAGAGATCGAAACAAAACAAAACAACCCAGAAAGAATGCCATATGCAGTGGCACATGCCTGTCATCCCAGCAGCTTGTGAGGCCAAGGCAGGAGGATGGCAAGTTCAAAGCCAGGCCAGGACCCCAGAGCTCAGACTGATCCATCCATGCTCTTGTTATTGACTTTCCCTAGGCTCAGCAACTTAGCAAGATCCTGTCTCAAAATTATGAATTAAAAAACAGGCTGGGGATGTGGTCCCATGGTTGAGCCAATGACCCTAGATTCAACCCCTGATATTTAAAAAAAAAAAAAAAAAACAAAGAATTCCCTCTTTCCAGTGCTGATCACCCACTAACTGCCTTCACAGGGCACTGGATGACTTTGGTTCCCTGAGCACCTATCAGCAAGTCTGGTGAGTTACTGGTGTGCATGTATATTACCCTAAGAGAACTGACATCTTTAGTGCCCAAGTCTACCTACCTTCATGAGTGGCTTCCTAGCCAAGAATACAACATAATTGTGAGTCTATTATATTCACAAGTAGTATTTTAATATTTTATATATGTCTTTATACATTCATATCTATATAGATAAGTATATATATTAAAAATTTCTTAATACATTTGTTCCTAGCCTTTTTTCCCCTCTTTTTGTTGCTATTTTAAATAAAATCAATTCTTTTTTCTTATCTTCTGACTGGATGCTTTTCATTCAGGTGGAGCATACATATGGTAACAAGTTTGTGTCTCCCTTTTAAATTTTTATGCCAATAACTTGCTTTATGGGCTTATTTTCTAATTCATTCAAAATAATATTAAATAATGGTAGTTATCAGAGACATCTTCATTGCTATGATTCAATAAGTCTATAATTCCTCATTAGGTATTAATGAGTTTGGATCAGACATTTTTTTTTCATCTAGCCCAATTTTACTGTTTATTTTTCAATTAAAAAAGGATGTTAAGTTGGTCACAGTGGCACAAGCCTAATCCCAGAGACTCAGGAGGCTGAGGCAGGAGGATCACAAATTCAAAGCTACCTTCAGCAAATTACTGAGGATCTAAGCAATTTGGTGAGACTCTGTCTCGAAAAAATGAAAAATAAGTAAAAATAAAAGGGCTGGGGTTGTGAGAATGTGTCTCAGTGGTTAAGCACCCCTGGGTTCAATCCCTAATTTTAAAAAAGAGGGAAAAATAGTTAAATTTTATTTTAATGCCTTTTGAGCAGCCACAGATAAATTTTTTCTTCCAGAATATTTTAATACATAGCACATTATCATTTAATTTGCTACTAACTGTATATGCTAATGTTCTATTTGTGATTCTGACACCCGTATGTAAATAAAAATGACACTGACCAGGGGGTCCGTAAAGCTTCTGAAGGACCAGATGCCAAGCACTTCAAAGTTCATGGGCAACACAGGGTTTCTGTCCCACCTCCTCTACTATAAACTTTTTAAAATGTAAAAGCCATCCTGAGCTCCTGTTTCTACTGGGTTTACTGAACATTTCTTAGTGTTCCATTTTAATTGATCTATTGGCTTGGGCTATATTTCTTTGTATTTATTAAAAGGCTATTGTAGGGATGACAACACACACCCAACCACTTAGTCTACTCTGAGTTAACATTTCACCACAGCAAGTAAAGTRCAGAAACCTTACAACATACAGATCCTGTGTGCACCACTCTGTTGTGACCAGATACATCACCTCCGCAGACGTAGCATTGATGATCTCATTGCACAGTGATATGGTTTTCATTGTCAAGTCCTAAACTTTCCTTTCCTTTCCTTTTTTTTTTTTTGTGTGTGTGTATGCATATAGCTAGGGATTGAATCCAAGACCTGGCACATACTAGGCAAGCACTCTACCACTAAGCCACATCCCCAGCCCAACAGCCATAAATATTTTAAAGAACTTATAAGAACAACTGCCTTTTATATTTACACAGATATTTATCATTACCATTGCTTTTCCTTCATTTCAGGTTTCCCTCTAGTATCAATTACCTTCATCCTGAAATTTTAGGATTTTTAGAATGACTAGGGAGAATTTTTCTTAGTTTTCCTTCATTTCCATCATTCTTGAAATATATTTCACTGGATCTAGATCCTGGGTTGACGGTTCTTTTTGTTTTGCACTATAAAGAAGATGTTATTTCATTGTCCTCTGTCTATGGCTTCTGATGAAAAATCTATAGCCATTCAAACCATTCTTTTCCTGCCTGTGAAGTGCTGGTTTTCTCTGGCACCTTCAAGGTATCTGACTTGTCTTTGGTATGGGTGTTCTGACTATGCTGCTGCGCCTGGGCCTTTTTGGCCACCTCTCTGTTACCCCCACCACTGCTCTCTGGTGCTTCCCTGCCACACACGTGCTGTCTCCCTGCTGCATTCACACACATCAAGCAAACTCTCACCCCAGAGCCTGGGGCCTGCTGTTCCCTCTGCCTGCAGCCCCCAGAGTCTGGGGACTTGCTTCCTGACTTCCCCCAACTGTCTGCTCAACTGCTGATCTCTGTAATGGCATTCTCCAGCCACCATCTCCTGTCATTGCTCCAAGAGCATTCATTGTCTTGTCACTGCTCAACACATACATCTGTTTAGACATGTCCTCCTGCTAGCTTGTGTGGTCAACAAGTTCAGGGACACTGTACTCACTACCATGTCCCCAATGCCAAAAACGTGAGGGGCACATAGTGGGTCTTCAATGATTATCTGCAGAATGAATGCTTTAATTAGTTAATGCCTGGAGGTGGGAATCACATAGAAAAGCATTCATGAAAATGGAGGGAAAATGAATTCTAGAGAAGCTAAGAAAGAAGGTGTCAGATGCGGCAGGTGGGGTTTAGATTCTAGGTGTCAGAATAGTTAATGCCCCTAAAAGTTATGCACTAGGGGAAAGCGTCTGTATTTACAAGTGGCAGATGGAAGAGTACCCTGGGTTAACCAGGCCATTGTGGCCTGCGGTTCACTTACTTCCAAACGCCTGAGGTCTTTATCTAAGTTTCTGAGACACAGTCCAAAGGTTCCAACCCTAGAACTGACTCCCACTGGTTTCTTTTCTTGCCTGGTAACACTCACTTGGATGAGCCTGGCCTGGATGCTCTCCCTCTAATGTCCATGGATCTTCTCCTTGCTCCAACCTGAGGATCACGTCTGGTTTGGTGAGACAATATCCTGTAATGAGACAGAGGTAGGACGTCTGAGGGCTGCCTGGACACGGCGGCCTGCAAGAACAGGAGGGTGCAGCTTCGGAAGTCCTACGAAAAGGTGCCTATTTGAAGCTTTCACTGGGGAGGTAAGGACACAACGGTTCTGGCCATGACCACCTTTGACCCCAGAAACACACACAAAAATATCACCAAGCCCCACCAAGGGCTCTGACATTTTGGGCATTGCTGGGGGAAAACTCCTCACCCACGAAGACCAGGTGGCTGTAGTTCTCCAGTGTCACATCCCGGTACAGGATCCTCTGAGTACTGCTCAGGCATAGCCACTCGTCCGGGCTGAAATTCACAGTCACATCATCGAATGACACAGATCCCTGGACGGCACCTTCCTGGTCAATCTGGTGTGATTAGTATTGGGTCACATGAAAGAGATATGTGGAAAATAATTCTTAGCACATTTACTTTGAGAGTCTACCTTGAAACATTATGTAGGTTGCTAATTCCATATCTTATTCTGTTTATCTCTTTATTGGGGAATAAAGAAATAGCATGATAGAAATACCCAGTCAGTGTACTTATTAACTCAAAAATTAAGATCCCACCATGTGTCTGAAACTCTTCTAGCTTCACAAAAATATTAAGTTAAATAAATCTTTTTTCCCTCCTGCCTTTAAGGAGCTTAAATTTTAGCAAGGAGTCATATTATAAGTATGAACATTTAACTTGTTCCAAGGAATTACAAGAGCTGTGCTAGAATCATTTACTACCAGTGTGGATGCTGGGCACAGTGGCACATGCCTATAATCCCAGATACTTGGGAGGCTGAGGCAGGAGGATCACTAGTTGAAGGCCAATCTGGGCAACTCAGGAAGACTGTCTCAAAATAAAGTGTGGAGTGGGGTTTGGAGGTACGAGATATATAGCTCAGAGGTAGAATACCAATACAAAATAATCAGTGTCAAATAGCAGTAGAAAATATGGTCCTGTTTTATATAATCAGGCTGGGTTTCAGTGCATGGGACATCATTACTAATGTGGCACAATTATGAACAAAGATGGAGGCAAAAAAACACAGAGCAGATTGAAGCACAGAGCAGGATAAAGGAGAGCAGCCGAGGCTGGGAGAGGCTGAGAGCCATGAGGGTCCTCAGGGTACACAGAGAGTAATCTTGATGCAGCCACTAGGTGCCCACACCAAAGAGACCCCCACCATAACTGTAACACATAAGCCTCTCTCCTGCCAACAAGAGGTTGGCAAAGAATGTCAGCAGGATTTCTGCAGAGAACTCATGGTGGTTGGCAGCTTCCTCTGTCCTATAAAAGCCAGATTTGCAACTAGATGGTGTCATAGACTCTGCCTCAGGAAAGGGTGCGATGCAAAGGTCAGAGAGCTTGTTGTTGTGCAAAGTTCCTGTTTCTGTCTTCCTTAATAAAAACTCATGAAACCTCTGTCTGACCTAAGAATACCAGATGTACCCGCCCACCATCATGCAATCACCACACTGAGTATAAATCTAAAGAATTTCCAAACCTGGGAGCCAGAGATTTTTTAGATATTAGCCCCTCTGGACCACTGCGGCTTAAATAAGCCTGCCTCCTGAAAATTCCTGAGTGTCCAGCCTCATCTGTCCTGCATCAATCTGGACCYATCAGCACAGCTTAGCACACTCCAAAATCCTTGGCTACCCAAGCAATAAAATGTTGAGCAGCCCCAATTTATTTATATTTAAGTAAACAGTATGCATCCTGCCCGTGCACACAATAATAAGCCCGATTTGCCTCTTTTTCTAGTTAATCGTTCATTGTAGCAATCTACTGTTTTCTTCCCATGTGTCAGTGGTGTGTCCTGCCTAGGAGGTAGGTGTGACTGCTGAGGACAGTGAGAAGCCAGCTGACCTCAAAAGCAATGACAGGCCCCAGGAGAAGCTTCACATTTTACAAGAAATGATACTGCCGCAGTAACGTCCAGCGGGACTGTCTGCTACAGGGAAATGTCCTTCACTGGCACCTACAGGAAGCCACCAGCTGCAGGTGGTGACTGAGCACTTGAAATGTGGGAAACATGGCTGAGGAAGTGAATCGTTAATTTTACATTTTTCTTTTCTTGTAATTAATTTAAATAAAATGTAAATAGCTACATCTAGCTGGTGTCCACCACCCGGTCAACAGTATAGAGAGAAATATAGAGTAGGAGGAGAAAAATGAAAGGAATAAGAGACCCTCACGAAATTTCTAGACACACAAATGTTGAAACAAAAAAAACGGATCAAAAAATCAGATATCAAAAAGATCAGCTAAACCAAAAGTCACAGCAACAGAAACTTAAACAAAAAGAAGCACCTAAGAAAAACGAGAATGAAAATCAAATGACAGAGCACGACCGCCCGTGGGACCTCATCAGACAGGCCACAGGGGTCACTGGAGATCCAGAAGTTGGGGTGGTGTGGGGGGGGCAGACAGAAAATGTATTTAAAGAAATTAAAGCCAAAACTTTTCCAAATTAAAGAAAACTATAAATCCATAGGTACAAGAAGTTCAAAGAACCCTGAAGAGAACAAATACAACTAAAAATACTCTAAGGTGAGCACAATGAAACTGCTGAAAATCAGGGATGGAAAACTTAGACGCGGAAGAGAAAGTGCTGCTTTCTCTTTCCTCTCTTTCCTGTCTTTTTTTTTTTTTTTAAGACAGGAACGACAGCAGACCTCCCTCCAGAAACAAGAAACTGCTCAAGACTAGAGAAGGACATTTAAAGTGCTAACAAAGAAGAAGGAGAAAAAATATAACACTGACCTAGAATTCAGTATCAAGCAAAAAATATCTTGCCAAAAAAGAAGACAAAATAAACACTTTTACATACAAGCAAATGCGAGAGCATCTGTCACCACCAGACCTGTAACACAGGAAATGTTGAAGGAATTCAAAGGAAAAGGGTGCCAGAGGAAAATTCAGATCTTCACAAAGAGATGAAGCAAACCAAAAGGCTACACATATGTGTAAATATAAAAGACATGCCCCTCCGATTTTTGGATTTTCAAGAAGATATTTAGCAACACAAGCAAATAATAATAATGCCAATAAACTCTAGGAATTAAGGACATGACAACAATACAAAGGCAAGAAAGAGGAAATTAAAGTATAGGTACTGCTTAAAGGGAAAGTGAGAAATCAAATACGTATATGGTACTCCCTGGAGCAACTACCAAATAAAGAGGTATCCCTAAAATGCCTATGGGAGTGAGAAAAGGAAACCCTAAGGGTGCTGAAGACAATGAGGAATAAATTTTAAAAAAGGAAATGGAGAGTAAAACAGACTGTAAGATGCTAACTATAAACTCACAGTGCAACTGTAAAAGTTAGGCTTCTGTTAAGGGCGGGGATCATTAGAATAATAAAAACACAAAAGCCAACTACAGACTGTCCACAAGAAACCCACTTTACATATGAAAACAAAGAAAAAAAACTTAAAAGATCGGGGAAATACACAAAAGGAAAACACAAATCAAAAGAAAGCTGCAGGGGATACAGCTCAGTTGGTACAGTGCTTGCCTCTCAGGCACAAGTCCGTGGGTTCAACCCCCAGCACCACACACCCCCAGCGGTTCAGGAGTCTGAGGCAGGAGGATCACAAGTTCAAAGCCAGCCTCAGCAACAGCGAGGCCCTAGGCAACTCAGGGAGACCCTGTCTCTGAATAAAATACAAAATAGGGCTGGGGATGTGGCTCAGTGGTCAGTGCCCTGAGTTCAATCCCTGGTGCCCAAAAAAGAAAAGAAAAAGAAAAAAGAAAGCTGCAGTAACATATTCTCATCAGCCTAAAGAGAAGTCAATGTGAGAAACTCTCCAGGTGTAAGAGGGACATAGAGGTCAATTCAGCATGTGATGTAACAATGCTACATGTGTTTGGACCTAAAAACAAAGAAAGGATGTGCCCAACAACCCAGGGACCTGTCATAGGCCTTACCTCCAGAAGATTCCACAACTTCCCAAACACTGTGKAATCTTCTGGAGTGAGACCAAGCCTTTAACACCTGAATGACTGACATCCAAGCTAAAGCACCCTATTATTTTCTCAATGCAGAAAAAGAATCTGACAAAACCCAACATTGATTCCTCATTAAAAAACAAAAACAGCAACAACAATAACAACAACAACAACAAAACTGTCAGAATGGTATAAGAAAAAAAATGGGCACTTTCTCAAAGTGGTAAAAAGGCATCTATGAAAATCTGTATCTGCCATCACAGAAAAAAATTAAATACTCAGTCCTGTACCCTTAAGATTAAAAATAAAAGCAAAAGGCCAGGCAATGGTGGCACATACCTGTAATCCCAGCCACCTGGGTGGCTGAGGCAGGAGGATCACAAATTCAATGCCAGGCTAGACAACTTAGCAAGAACCTGTCTCTAAAAAGCGAAAAAGTCTGAGGAGCACATATCTTAACACAAAAATAAAGACCATAAAACTGCTAGAAGAAAACATGAGAGAAAATTCAATGGCCTTGGCTCTGGCAAAGATTTCTTAAATATAGTGATTGGGGGGGGGGACATTAACTATCAATAATCAAAACAATGTATCAAACTGTATACCATCAAAATGAAAACCTTTTGCTGTTTAAAAAATACTGATTATTAGATATGGAAAATGACAAACCCCAAACTAATATAGTCTGGGAAAAGGGAATGCAGAGAAAAGCAGCATATTGGTGGCACTGATTCTTTCCCAGTGACAGTGACAATGGGATCCTGAAGGGAAAGAGAGAAGCTCTGAATGCTGACCCCAGACCCCCCATTCTACTCTAAGTAAGAATGTTGCCCAATAAAAACAAATTTTCAAATTCTCATAATCCTGTTTCCTGAGCACCCCAAACTGACCATTAACCCCAGACTCCCTCCCATTTCACCCAGTAAAACAGACCCCAAATTCCTAAGTGTCCCAAACTGACAAGCTTGTTCAGTCATATCTCAGTATAGGAGCCCAGTCCCTTTCATTGTCCAGTGGCTCATTTTCCTCCAGGAGAGTGAGTCCACCAGCGTCGACCTGTTCCTGTATGAAACCTTGTCCCTGAATAAACAGCTGATCCGTGCAGTTTGCATCTGGCCCAGTCCTTTTGTGCTAACACTGATAGGATAAAAAGGCAAGCCACAAACAAGGAGAAATATTTTCAAAAATGGTATCTAGTTGGGTATGGTGGTGCACCCCTGTAATCCCAGCCACTTGGGAGGCTGACACAGGAGAATCACAAATTCAAGGCCAGCCTCAGAAACTTAGCAAGACCCTAAGTAACTTAGTGAGACCCTGTCTCAAAATAAAAAAGGGCTGAGGATGTGGCTCAGTAGTTTAGCACTTCTGGGTTCAATTCCCATACCCTCTAAATGTGTGTGTGTGTGTGTAACATATACATGAAATATGATGACCAAATTAGATTGATTCCAAGAATGCAAGATTGGGTTAATATTTGAAATGTGATCAATGAAATTAAGCTTAGAGAATAAAGGAAAAAGCACATAATCTACAAGGGAGCACTAGATAAAATTGAACACCCATTCATGATAAAACCTTAACAAATTAAGAAAGAAACTGCCTTAATCTGATTAAACAACCAATATACTTAAGGATGAAATATGGAAAATTCTTCCCCAGACACTAAGAAGGAGACAACAATTTCAGCTTTAATTTGTAAGTCAACCACGCGACCAGCACGCTGGCTTCATACATGAGGTTCATAGCATAGAAGTTAACTAGTGAGATCAAAATAAACACACAAGACTCAATTACCTTTTTCTTTGACCAGGTCTGAGATGGCCCTCCCTCTGGCTCCCGCCTCGAACCACCAGGTGGGGAAGCAAGGCTTACTCAGGACTAGCAGGAGAGAGAGGCAGGGCACGCCAGGGAGTGGCCTTTTATTGAGGTACAAGAAATTCAGGGGAAAATTCCATCCAATGAAGGTCGAGGGGGACAGCATTCCAATGTCAGGGTCAGTGATTGGTCTCAGGGTCAATGGTCAGTCACACCCCCACATGGACCTGGAGAGGGTGGGGATTAGCTCCCACACAGTTTGGCCAGAACGCCTCACACCCAATCAGGGAGGTGCCCAATCACTTGCAAGAATGGCTTCCCACATGTAAGGTAAAACAATAAGGATTCCAGAAGAAACAAATACTTTTAGAACCTTGGGATAGGAAGCTACTTTATAAACAGGATGCAAAAAAGACCTACTCCTAAAGGAAAAGAAAGCCAGACCCTGTTAAAATTAGGAATTTTGTTGAGAGCCACAGCCAAAGGGGCCCCAGAAAACTTCCAGTTGCCAGCAAACTCCCAGCTGCCGGCTGATGATTGGCTCACAGTGGCCCCAGCAACATCTAGCTGATTGGCTCCTCTGCGGTGATATTCATTGGGCTGTTTCCCTGCCCTTCAGACTACGGAACTGCTCATTGGGGGACTTCTTTGGCTCCGCCCACGCGACCCAGCCAATCGGCCTCAAGAGCAGGAGGATTGTGGGAGGTGGTGTGGTTTGTGTGGGAAGAGGCTTCTGGAAGCCGGTGGTGGCAGTTGGGCTCTGAGGGTTTTCCTGAGGAGCTGTTTTGTTTGGCGTTTGTAGTTTTAAAAATAAAGTTTGTTTCTTTTGACAAGTGGCTCCTGAATTGTGCCCAGTCAGACTGCGGCAGAATTTCTGTTAATCAAGTTAACATTAAGAAAGTAAAGAGTCAAGAATTTTCTCTAGTACTGTGTGTCTTAGTCTGTCTCTTGCTGTGAGAATCCCAGGACTGGGTAACTGTGAAGAACAGAGATTTATTCAGCTAGTGATTCTGCAGTCTGGTGAGGGCCTCCTAATACCTCTTAACACTGTTATAATGGCAATTAAATTTTAGCCCACATTCCGGAGGGAACATTCAAACCATATATAAATGACAAAGCACACCTCTTAGGATTACATAGAGAGTTAATTTATACATTACTTTTACATTATACATTAATAATTACATTATACATTATACATTAATTTATACATACTGTCAGAAAAACGGGCAAAAGATATGAACAGGAGCCTCACAATAAGGGTATTCAAATGACTCAGACTGAGGGAAGGATGCTGAACGCACTAATGAAAACTGCACCCTGGAAGACCAAAACAGCACTCAGAGATGGGAATGGAGAGCCCAAATCTCCTGGGTGGCCACTCGGTTCAGATAGGGCATCTATTCAGTAAGAGTCTGCTTCCAAACAAGATCAAGCTGACCACATGTTTAGTCCACCCACAAGTGTGTAATGAGCACAGAGGACGCAGCCCAGGGAGAGGACCTTCAGAACACTCTCTACTGAGTCCAGGGTGCTTTGGCCCCCAATATGATCTGAGTTCTACCCTCCACTTAGAACAAAGAACAATCACAGGCAACAACAGACAGGTTTATTACAGGGTTCTCCACTTCATGAAGTCCTTTAAGCACTGCAAAGCAGGAAGTCCTGCCCAGGAAGACCTGTCCCAGGAGTAACTGTTTGGTGTCTGCTGAATACCATATGCAGATTAGGATGATGCTGAACTTCCATGACTGTGGGATCATGTCCTACAAAGATCTACTAGTGCCTTGCCYGTTCATCACTGGCCACTCGCTCACCTGACCCTGAAGTGGCTTTTTAAAATGTTCATCTTAATTTACAAACACTTATAAAATATCATACCAAAAACACTTATAAAAGCCATGAAATATCACAGCAGCTAAATAGGAAGAAAAGAAACAATTCACCTGAAATTTGTTCATTTTCTGATATTCCTCGAAGAGCTCAGAAACCTGTTCTTCAAAGAGCAAACCTGGAAGAGGAGGAAAGAGGAAAAGAATGAGATCTGTCAGGGCTGCACTTGCTAAGTTCTCCCTAAAACCCCTACACACCAGCTTGTGACCTTTGATTCTGCACAAGGACAGCAGGGAAACATCCCCACGTCCCTTTGCCACTCCAATCTGATTTCATGAAGCTTAATTAAGCCTCTAATGCTTATCAGTGCATGTCCCCTCTCACTAATACATATTTGAAACAGAACTGATTGCAAAAGGCCAGCATCTCAGGAGATGACCTACCACACCTACATGAAAACTGAGATGCAGTTTGGGGGTAGGCAGCTTCAAGGCTCTACTTTTACTATGAATAATGTTAATACTCAAACACGAGAATCCACATAAAGTTTTTGGGGAAAGGTTAGGTGTTATAAGAATAGATCTTTTATAAAAACTGTCGGTTCTAATTTGACTGTAGGTGGCTAGGGACATAGCTCAGTTGGTAGAATGCCTGCTTCCCATACACAAGGCCCTGGGTTCAATCCCTAGCAACACACACACACACACAAAAGTAAATCTAATTTAACTGTAGTTTCCCAAAAGGATCTTTTAATTGCAACATATTTCAGTTTTACTCTGTGGATAGCATTGGCGGACTCAGACTTCTATTCAGGAGCTACTAATCTGAAACAAATCATTTCCCATTTGAGGTCTGGCCCCACACACACACACACATTTTTTTTTTCTTTCCTTCTTTCAAAATAGAGAAAATTTGATAGCCTGGCAAACTTTCCCTAGGCTACTCCTCYTCTGACCCCATAAGGTCAAGAAAGACTAAATCCACCATATCTCTGGTGCCAGACACGGTGATGGTGGTTAACAGCTGCCTGGCTTCTGTAAAGAATTAGAGGCGAATAAAGGCGGGGGGCAGGGGAATGCTGTTTAGGGTAAGCTAAAGATAGAAGCTTCCCCTGAGCATCCTGCCAAAGAGTGAGGTGGCCTTTCTCGCACTATCCGGCCCTGGCCACCACTCAGTCCTGGCTCCCTTCTGTCTGCCAAATGACTCACAGTCTTAAATGGCTTCCGAACGTGGTGAAATCACTCAAGCCTCATCCCTTTTCTAGGTCTCTTCGGCCCCTTCTCAGAAACTCTTGACAGATCTCGGGTCAGAGGTTTGGGAGGGCGGGGGTGCATGTCATACCTGTCCCTGAAGCCCCCTCCTCATCGCAGTAATTGCTTTGTTCCAGCAGGGTCCAGGGCGCAAACTCACTTTGGCTGGAACTTTCCCGGGGGCCCCAGATGTGTTTAAGAATACAGTTCCAGACACCTGAGGCCGTAGCATCCACAAACACAAAGCAGGACCGTTAGGGACAAAGCCAGGCTGCCCACGTCCCAGGGCTGGACGCCCTGGGCAGCGCAGAAGCGCCGCAGTCCACCGGACAGACGCTTCTACCGAACAGCGCCGGGAAGGCGCTGGACTAGTGCAAAGCAGCCTGGAGACCCAGGAAGCCCTAGCGCCGCAGATGCAACAGCCGAGACGCGGCCGCCAGCGCTGTACAGGGACGCCGGCTGCCCGAGCGCGGGCTCCGCCAGCCTGCCAACTCCTGCCCCGCAGCGCGCGGCGCGGACACCTGTTCCACCTCACCTGCCCGCCGCGGGCCGGAATCCGCAGCTGCTGGCCGCCGGCTCCGAGCGTGCGGACTTGGAGCGCGTCGCCTCCGCAGCGGCGCGGACTGAGACCCCCACCGCGAGAGCCCCTCCGCACGCGCCGGGCCTCCTGCGACCCTACGCGGGACCCACCGCCCCGCTAGGGAAGGCTGACATCCCGCGCTCCGCGCGTGCCCTCCCCACAGCCTCAGAGGCTCACCCGCTGCCCCGCGCGCGACCGCGTCCCACCAGGCCGAGACCCTGAGGAGCGAGCGCCTGCGCACAGAACCCAACCCGCTCCTGCAGGGCCCGGTGCGGAAGGCTCCTCCCATGGGAGGGGCCAGCGCAGGCCCGCCCCTCTTTGCCAGTCTGGGCGGGGTCTCTGCACACCCCCTGCTCCCGCTCTTCACCCCTTTTCATCGCTGCTCTCACATCTACAAGATTACCTCATCCCTCACACCCCAGTTCACCGCAGCCCTCTCCACATCCTGACACCCCCCATCCCTTCACCCCACATCCTCTCCACCCTCTCCCATTCCCCCAGGTCGCTTCCCTCCTCTCCTTTGCCCCACATCACCTCCACCCCGCTCCCCTCTGCCTGGTCCGCACGTCTCCCCGCAGCCTCCAAGCTTCGGAGAGATTCAGGAATGCAGGTGAAAATGTAATCACATTAACCCAGCCAAGTAATTATTTTTAAATGTGATTGAAAAAGAAAGGGAAGACAAATTTCAAAAAGCAATACATGAAAATTGAAGGTGTATCAAAAGACCCTCAAACGAAAAGAAGAAAGAGAGGGCTGAGGATGCGCTCGCCTGGTGTGCGCGGGGCACTGGGTTAGATCCTCAGCACCACATAAAAATAAAGATGTTGGGTCCACCGAAAACTAAAAATAAATATTTTTTAAAAATCTCTCTCTCTCTAAAAAGAAGAAGGAGGAGGAGGAGAAGGAGAAAGAGGGTATTGTCACATAGTCTCTCTTTTTTTTTTAAAGAGAGAGTGAGAGAGGGGGAGAGAGAGAGAATTTTAATATTTATTTTTTAATCATGGGCGGACACAACATCCTTGTTTTGTACGTGGTGCTGAGGATCGAACCCGGGCCGCACACATGCCAGGCTAGCGCGCCACCGCTTGAGCCACATCCCCAGCCCCAAAAAAGAGGGTGTTGTCACATATTCTCACGGACAGAGCGGTGTTGACCCGTCTTAGGCATGCACCTGACATTTTAAACATTAAATAAGTAAACAAAGGATCCTAAGAAGCCCAAGAGGTTTGGGACAAAGGCGAACTGGAAGGGCCTCTAGTGGGAAAGTTCACTTTCACTAAACAGTTTGCACTCTCAACACAGTTAAGGATAAATCCCTGGGTCACACTTTAGAGAAAAATTTACTTGGATCCCACATTTTAAAGTTCAAAAGTAAATTCCTAAAACAAAAGTGAATTTTATAATATAACATCCATCGATGGGGATGGCAACAGAATGAGAAATCATTAAGCCAAAACGGATTTTTATTTTAGAAAATTAAACATTTCCCTTCCGTTTAAAAAAACGGAACAAAGTTTAGAGACAAACTAGGAAAGGTTCCTTGTAACACACATGAGAAGCAAAGGCTTGATCACCTGAATTTATAAATAGCTCTTATAAATCAATGAAAAGGTCAGCATTATCATCTAGCTCACTAGTGAGAGAAATGGAAAGGAATAAAAGACAAAATGCAAATAAACAAATATATGAGAAAGTTCATCATGACAAAGAAAAAAAATATTTACCAAATATTTTTGGAAAGTAAAATTTTAAAGAGAATTAAAATTATAGTAATATTCAGGGTAGGTACAGATTTAAAGAAATATTCATTTCCCTGGTGACAGTTATAAAGGTAATTTTCACAAACTTTCTGGAACCTACTCTATATCAATAATAAAAACATCCTTTAACCTAGCAATTCAACTTCTAGGAGTGGATATTAATGAAATAATTGTCCAAAGATGTGTGTAAGAATCTTGTTCACAGTTTAATGACAGAAAAAAAATGGAACTTAAATTTAGACAATTTATCTGGGTGTGGTGGAGCATGCTTGTAATTCCAGCAACTCTGGAGGCTGGGCCAGGAGGATGGTGAGTTCAGAGCCAGTTTCAGCAACTTAATGATGCCTAAGCAACTTACCCAGAACTTCATTTCAAAATAAAAAGGGCGGGGGTGTGGTTCAGCAGTCAAGTAGCCCTGGATTCAATCCCTGGTACCAAAAAGAAAAAAAAATAGACAATTTAAATGTTTAACCACATGAATATGTAAAAATAAATTCAAAATGATAACGCAAACTAAGCTAACTCATCTGTAAGAAAGTTCATAATCGAATTTGGAATCATTATTCAACCAAAGACATAGATAGAACCCCAAGGAGCTGGGGTTGTGGCTCAGGGGTAGAATGCTTGCCTTGAACATGTGAGGCCCTAGGTTAAATCCTCAGCACCACATAAAAATAAATAAATAAAGGTATTGTGTCCTACAACTAAAAAATAAATATTAAAAAGATAGAATTCCGTTTTTTAAAAATTGAACATATGCTTTTTAGAGAATAAAAGTAGATAACGTGTAAAAAAAAAAAAAAAAAACAGTAAATAGGCCAGGTGCCATGACACTCACCTGTAATCCCAGAGACTGGGGAGACTGAAGCAAAAGGATTACCAGTTCAAAGTCAGCCTCAGAAATTTAGCAAGAACCCTAAAGGACTTAATTTCCATACATCAGCTCAAAGGGCACCACACTGCAGCAATGTCAGCTTTGATTTTTTTTTTTTTTTTTTTTTTTTTTTTTTTTTTTGGTACCAGGGATTGAACCCAGGAGGCGCTTACCCACTGAGCCATATCCCCAGCGCTTTTTTGTATCTTGTTTAGAGACAGGGTCTCACTGAGTTGCCTAGGGTCTCACTAAATTGCTGAGGCTGGCTTTGAACTCACGGTCCTCCTGCCTCAGTCTCCAGAACCACTGAGATTACAGGTGTGTGCCACTGTGCCGTGCAATAGTCTAGGATTCTTGACAATTTTTAAAAATATATCATTTCAGTTCCAGGGCTTACCATTCATTTCATTAGCATTATTTCAAATTACATAATCCAAAATACAATGGGTGTGTGACAGCTCTCTTATGTTTTCTCTATAGCTACCATAAGTGGATACAGAATCATAGGAAAGTCCAGGAAGTCTGCATAAGTAATTAGTAAGAGGGATATCTTCAGAGGAGGGGGTTTATGTTGTCTTAAGGAGACTTTAAATTTATCTGCAAATATTTACTTTTTTTCACAGGGAAGCTGGCGATATATCTCAGTGGTAAATCACTTGCCAAATTATAGTCAATTCTTATTTATGAAATGTCACGGTCTAAGGTAGCACAGCATAGTAATCCTGCCCCCCAAAAGTGGGCATTCGTTCACATTTTCAAAGAGGATTCCAAGCTGGGGCAGAGCAAAGGACCTTAACCAAGGTCACCCGGTGCCCTGCACTGTAGGTGTGGAATTGACTATGTGCCAACGTGGTATCAGGGAGACAGAACAGGTTTGTGTGTGTGTTTGCACAAAGTGTTTTTAAAAATGTCTAGGAGACAGTTCTACTGAGGGTTAAGGGCTGGAGCTCCACAATCAGGCTGCCTTTCCTATCAGACCTCAGTTCTCCAGCTCTTGGGACAAGCCATTGTGCCCCAGTTTCCTCCCACTTTCCTGGAAGGAGTGTGAACTAAGTGAGCAATGCCTGGCAGAAAGCCTCGGCAGTTAGCCTAGCCACTAGAGTACTACGGGCTCAGGATTTTTCTGTTAAAAAATTAAACCATTCACATTCCTCTGTAACTTGCCTTCCTTCATCTACAATATGTCATGGACATCTGCCCACACTGGTAATACAGGACTGTAACTTGTTCTAATTGGTGGTAAATATTCAATAGCCCAGATGTACATACATTATTTGACTGGTCTATAGTATTGGAATTTAGCCTTCAGTTTATGCTGAAGGCTACAAACTCCAATTTACAAAGGCAAATATATAAAGGCAGCCCATCGAGACTGAGCCAAAGTCTCAGTTCTTTCTTTTCCGAGCATGTGACACAAAAAGGTGCCTTGTCTTCATGTACCTTTTCTTCCTGGGGAAAGTGAGGAGAAGGGAGCTGTTGTGAGAACTCACTGAATAGAGAAAACATAAGCACTAATCATGTATATTATTATGATTATTGTTCCTTATTGTGCTCTTTTTTTCTAGTGGATAAATTGCAAGAAGAGGGTTTAGTGGATCAAAGTTTATATCCATTTTTTAACTTTAATTAATCCTGTTAGATTTCTTTCAGAATGCTATTTTGCCATCTCTCTATTTCTTGTCAAGTCATGGTTAGACCTAGAAGCTTGATCAGATGGAACTTGGATGATTTGATGAGAATAGTCATAATGGTTCTGCATCAGGAGACACAGGCTATTTGTTCCAACTTTACTGATGTGAAAATTGGCCAGAAAGTGCAGGTTTTATTGTCAGCCTGCCCATCTATTATAAATGAGGAGCATAGAGAAATAAATTTTTAAAAAGTCATAAGTAAGCGCTCAACCAATTCAAGAATGTAGAGAATTTTACAGAGAAAATCATCTAATACTTCAACAAATAAATGTACAAAATAGTAGAAATGGGAGGTAATAAATGGTCACTAAAAGAGAATGAAGACATGGGTTATAGGCAATGTCTGGAATTTATTTAGATCCTGACTTCATGTAAAATTACACTTTGAGACATTTGGAGAAATTTGAACTTTATAGATGCAGTTAAGAATAAATGAAGTTATACAGAAAATTATAGAGCAATATTGAAAGTCATGAAAAGATACTGTCTTCTCATGAACACAATCTATACTCATGGGTTAGAAGAGTCAATATTTTAAAGATGGGAATTTCCCTACATTGATCTATAGATTCAATATCATCACAAGGGAAAGCTCAGTCATATTTTAAGATAAGGAGAAGTTAAAATTAATAAGTTGTTAAACTGCAAAGTGCTAAAACAAGCCAAGATTACTTTAATCAAAAAGTGCAAAGAGACATGACTACCACACATAAGAAGTAAAAAAAGATGATGAAAATTACTATGAACACTTGTATGCCAAAAAAACTGGATCATACAGATAACTTGGACAAATTCCTAGGAATATACAAACCACTAAAATTGATGCAAGAAGAAGCAGAAAATCTGAAAAGATTTGTAAATTTAACAAATAAATCAGTCACAAAAAATATCTCCCAAGAAAGAAGAGCTCAAAACCAGATGACATCACAGTGA